AGTTAATGAGCTCAGAAGCACCAGGAGGCTGTTTATAACAATAACAACAGTTGATTGGGACGTTTTCATGATTGTAAACTGTTTAATAAATGTAACCAAAGCCGTCAAAGATTGAGGAAAGATGTACACGTTCGTAAGTACTTGTGTAACTGCTTCGTGAATCTGGCCCCCTGAATCTTAAGGAGACGTTTCGGTCGTCGAAACCATCCTAAACTTTACAGTGGTTGTTGACCAGACCACACACTAGAAAGTGAAGGGACGACGACGTTTCGGTCCGTCCTGGACCATTCTCAAGTCACAATCGACTTGAGAATGGTCCAGGACGGACCGAAACGTCGTTTGTCCCTTCATTTTCTAGTGTGTGGTTTGGTCAACATATTTCAGCCACGTTAGTGTGACTCCTCGTCTGTTTACAGTGGTTCACGTCGGACCGAAACGACGTAGTTTCTAATTTTTAAGTGTGAGGGTTCGGGATCATTACGTGTTCTAATGTATTCTGTATAAATACAAATTATTATTTATATACAGTATTGGGATGCGGAGGACAGCCAAAGAGTTAGGTTATACTTTTTTACCAAAATAGAATTTCTTGGCTTAGTTTATAATGTTATATTTGACATAGATGATTCAGTATGTAAGCCTATAATTGATAAAATAATTGACATCGTTATGAGTGAATTACATTTAGCAGTATGTAATGGTTATTAAAGATTCGCTACCTGGAACAAAGTTCCAAGTAGCACGGGCTATGGTGAGCCCGTAGTGCCTTTTTATATGTAATGGTAAACCCACAGGAAAACCTTGATCACATCTACCTTTGACCTGCGTCTCTACAGAGCTCAGACTGAGATTTGACAAAAATCAAACAAAATTTTGTCTGAAATTCAGATAAAATTGTGATTAATTTTTGTCACTAAATATATTAATAATAATAACTTCGGTCTGTTATAGTAGGAAGGGTCACAGATGCCAGGTATCAGTCTGGTATCATTAAGCACGTGATACTGTTAATAATGTAAATGATATAGATGTTCAGTTATAATTATCAAACAGAATGTCTGCCTCTGTCTGTCTCTGTGTTCGAGAGTTGAAGGGGAAATGCTACGAGTTAGCCTTAATTTTGCACATGCTGTTTGCTGAACTTGCTCATCGTGGGTGGGTAGAGGGGCAGCATCAATGAAACGAGTACCCCATGATATGGTGCCAAAACGACCCCTACGATTCCTGTCATTCTGACATGGTTTTAGATTTAATAAGACTTAATTCTGTTTCATCTCTTCATAATATTGCATGAGAGAGAGAGAGAGAGTACTCCTTCTAGTTATATTTTAAGAAACGAGTAAAGCAACACGTCATTTTAACAAAATAATATAACTTCATCACGTGCTAACATTTTGTAAATGTGACTTACGAGCAGCGAGGATAAGACCTCGCTGGAGCCAGGTAGCCTGGAGCAGCAGCAGCAGCAGCAGTAACAGCAGCAGCTGGACCAAGTAGCCTCCCACAGACATATCTGCTTCCTGTGGTCACCTCACGACCGTGGAGCGGGCTCCTTGAGCACCGTCGGGGCTCTGAGCGCCTGGGCGTGTGGCGCCAAGGATTATGTCTTGCTACACCAGGGATCAATGGTGGCAAGTGGCGGTCTGTCGCCATATTGATTGTTGAGAAATCATCGTCACTCTTACCTGACTGTCACAACATCTTGAACCAACACCCACGTTCATGGCATGCGGCTGGTCGAAGTGCGGTGGGTTGTGTGAGAAAGGCGATATATATATATATATATATATATATATATATATATATATATATATATATATATATATATATATATATATATATATCGTACCTAGTAGCCAGAACTCACTTCTGGTGTATACTATTCAGGCCCGATTTGCCTAATAAGCCAAGTTTTCCTAAATTAATATATTTACTATAATTTTTTTTCTTATGAATGATGCAACCCTTTTCTCTATGTATGAGTTCAAAAACAGGATTGGAGTTAAAAGCACGTAGATATATGACCGAACCTAACCAACCCTACCTAACCTAACCTAACCTATATATAGGTAGTTAGGTTAGTGCCCCCAAAAAAGCTAAGTTAGTTAGTTCTAGGTTGTATTCGTCGAAAACATACCCATTCATGAAAACTTGAGCAACGTGAGTAGATCGAGTTTGAAAGAGTAACTCAGGAAGTGCGTGAACTGGCTATTAGGTACGCGACATAAATGCTATAAGAAGACACTTGGATGGTATAATGTCGAACCTAGAACAGAAACCACATGCACCCCCTCAGCCTTATATGCAAATCCCTATTTGCACAATAACATATAAGTTTTCATGAAAGAATATGAAATTTGTTAATCTTAAGAAATGATAAAGCACTACTCATAACCAAAATGTATGAAACTTTTAATATTGGAGTTAAAATTAACGAAGATATATGACCGAACCCTTATCAAAAACAACCCGAAGCCGACGGAACCCCTCTACAGCAGTCAAGGTTACATGTACACTTGCCCCCACGAAGGATGTAACCTTCAATGTAAGTAGATAGGTTAGACGTCGAAAAGCTGACGAATTTTGACATGCCATCTTATCTAGTGCCCCAAATCACATGAGACAAGCCCATGACATTACTCTAACTGAGAAGTTGAACAAGAATACTTGCTAATAGACAAAACCCAGATTCAAGAAGATTACAAATTCTTGAGGCAATTCACATAAGAATTGAGCGACCTACCATATATATAAATCACGGAACTATTTACTCTACCCACCTGAGAGTAGGACAAGACAAGAACATATCGATGCCAACTACAGAGGACAATGTCCAACATAACAGGCCAATTACACTGGATTAATCTTTGTGTTTAGATAGGAATTTTTTTCGTATGGGCCAATGCCTTCTGCAGCCCCTTTTATCCCTTATGTATCCCCCCATGTTTTTTTATTTCATTAAAATATCACCTACCTATATGACCGAACCTAACCAAATCTACCTACCTAACCTAACCTGTTACTTGAGAATGTAAGGTGGAGGTTAGGTCGTGCAAAATACAAATAAGTGTAGGTTACACTCTATAGGTTAAATCACGATCTTTTCATTACCTTAAATGAAAACTGAGCTTTTGGAGAACTCCTATTCCAATTAAGCCCTGATGCTGAGAAAAAGTGCGTTCTGCCCTAAACTAGGAAAATATATATATATATATATATATATATATATATATATATATATATATATATATATATATATATATATATATATATATATATATATATATATGCGAACAAGCCTGAATGGTCCCCAGGACTATATGCGAATTAAAACTCACACCCCAGAAGTGACTCGAACCCATACTCCCAGGAGCAACGCAACTGGTAACTACAGGACGCCTTAATCTGCTTGACCATCACGACCGGACAAAAGGAAGTGATAGCCGAAGCTATTTGAACCACTTCTCACTTCTGGGGTGTGAGTTTTCATATATATATATATATATATATATATATATATATATATATATATATATATATATATATAATGTGAGTAAATCACGAATATTAATACGTGATGAAAATGTGACAGTGTCAGACCATGTAGGAAGAATTGAAACAGAAAGTTCCTTAGGTACTTTCGTATTTAATAATACATCTTCAGAAGGATGCAAAGAAGCTTGAATGGTCCCCCAAGCCAATATGCAACCGAAAACGTCTCACCCGTGAAGGATTCGACCTCGGTCAACCAGGGCTTCCATGCCCCCTTGGTGTGTCCAGTACTATAACCACTCAGCCACAGACTGTACAAAAGTATTGGAAAGTCGTTTGACTTTTAACCCCAATACCCGGCAACGCTCGTGACTATTTTGGGCACAGATATATATACATACATATATATATATATATATATATATATATATATATATATATATATATATATATTATATATATATATATATATATGTGTATATGTATATATATATATATGTATATATGTATAATGGGTGTGTATGGAAAATTTTAACTGTTTTTTCGAGGTTGGAAGCCAAATGCTTGGAGCTAGCTTTATCCATTTTTTTACAAGTAATTGCTGATGGGTACGTGCCCAACATGGGTGGGATTGGGTGTCAAAGAAAAAAATATCAATTGATATTGTTGCCAATGTCACCTCCATTAATATCTCACAATATCATATGATTTGACTGAATTATTATTCTAGTTTTTTTAAGATATCGGGAACTGTTTGGGCCGATCATACCAAATGAAAAAAAAACTTATTATAATACTCTTTTTGTCTAAGATTTTATGGGTCATATGTTGAACCCATTTTGTGTGTTGTGTTGTTATAACGTTAAAATTGGTGATGTTGTAGAAGACAAGAGGATGTGGTAGTTGTAGTTTGAAATGGATAGCATACCATACTTTGATGTGAAGATTGCACTTTCTATTTTTTTTTAATTTTCAAATTTTGCCTCGATGTGTGTTTAATTAATTTATTTCAAAGTGAACTAAAGCTGAAAATAATAAGACTTTCCTCACAGGTGTAGAACTAAGTGTGTATATGGCGAGAATTAATTCATTGGTGAAACATTCTCATTGATGTGTGTGTGTCTTGCTAGCTGCATTTGAACTTTCTCTCCCGTATACACCCCCTCCCACCTCTGAGCCAGCACTGAGTGCTGCCCTCGGCGTCGACCTCTGAGCAGCGACTGTTCTCAGTTGCCATGTAAGCATATTTGGATGGCTAATTTTTTCCTCGTAAATACACCGCCGAATTCTGCTTGATTATCAGTATCTAGCAGAATATTGTGCTGTGTATTTAGATACGGTTTATGAAGTTTAGAGCACGTTATAAAAGTTGGAAATCTTGGGAATTGTGGTCCATGGCGGTGTGTGGTAACTATGACGAGAGGCGAGGGTGGTGGAGGGTCAGAGTGTTGTAGGTGGCAGTGGCAGCGCTGCCTTCGTCCTGGACGGGTGGGTGCTTGCCGCTCCAATCAACCCACCCTCTCTAAGTAAATATTGTCGCGATCTGTACAACATGTAGAGGAGGCAAGATTTGCCACAAGAACATATCCTTAGTGAGATACGCTTTCTCTCTTCCCTTAGTTGGCAACGCGACATCCACAATCAAAAATTACTACTGCTGCTAAAATACACAATTTATGTGACAACTGAAAAAATATACTAATTATCTCCAATATGTTCAGGCGACAGGATATACTCTGAATAAATCTCTGTGTGGGTAAAAGATATTGACTTAGAATTGCATCAAGTAGGAAATAAAATATGATCTAAATTAGATCAAGTAATGTCTCCAGCAGGATGACTGGAAGAGCTCCATCAGGAAATCTGTAATCAACGAAACACTTGCAGTTTTAAGGTAGAGTCGTGACCCAGTGAACCCGGGACATCCAGAGGACAGCCAGGAGATGGACAACAGTCGGCCAGGGACCCAGCGTCACGGTAGCCTCTGCAGGGACGCCAGCGCGGGTGCTGGAACACGGGTGACGTATGCTTTTCGTCCGAAAACCATCATTAAGAGACTTCAACAGGAGAGAATTCGGCAGGAAGTATCCGGGCGCGATGAGAGGTCGAAGCCGAGGCCAGCGCCTCTGTCCAAGTACCGCAGGAAGACTGCCAACGCCAGAGAACGCCATCGCATGCGGCAGATAAATATTGCCTTCGAGTCCCTCCGAAGGATCCTGCCGGATGGCATGGCGTTGCAGCCGGCAACGTCAGCCATGACGAAGATAACGACGCTTCGTCTCGCCGTCAGCTACATCAGAGCGCTGTCTGACACCCTGGAAGACAACCACATGGCTGACTCGCTGGAAAGGTCCTTCCAGCATTCGGTGAAACATTCATTCCAGCTACCGAAGACCCTGTCGTCAGAAGGCAGCGTGATATTCCAGTACCAAACCCAGATGGCCTCTTTCACCCAGCAAGCCATAACCGAGGCGCCGTATGGTCTGGCCTACTGCCCCACGCCCAGCACCACCCAGCCGTCAACCTTCCCACACAAGACCAAAGGGTCACTCAGCAGCGGCACCACCACCACCAGGGCCCTTCATGACCTGCTCTCCGACGACACTCGCTTACTGCCGGACAACCTCCAATTTCTCGGTGACATTCCAGCGTTGACTGATTTCTTTGGTGCCCTTCCGTGAGGTGGAGAGATTACCTCACCTCCCCAACGATAACCTCACCTCACCGAGGAAAGACAATACCGATAACCTAACAAGTTATCCCATCTCAATACATCCCACGTTCGATAATAGCGGCCTTACAGTGAGCTGCGGAGATAACGGATGGGAAAGCAGCATCACCGCCAAGCTTGACGAGTGCATATGCTGCTGACTGGTGTGTGTGTGCTGCGTGCCATGCTGCACACGGGGTTGGGGCTGGCATTGACCATCGCTGCTTAATATTCATCATGAGGTGGAGAGGTCAGCATCATCAGCGAGGTGTGTGTGTGTGTGTGTGTGTGTGTGTGTGTGTGTGTGTGTGTGTGTGTGTGTGTGTGTGTGTGTGTGTGTGTGTGTGTGTGTGTGTGTGTGTGTGTGGTATCAGATACGGTTGGGGAGGAGCCCCATACACGTGTGAATGATGCTAGTCCTTTGGGCCATGATGCCAGCAGGTGTGTGGACACAGGCAGCCCTTGTACTAGCAGGTGTGTGGTGGTAGCCAGCCCTTGTACCAGCAGGTGTGTGGTGGTACCCACCCCCTTGTACCAGCAGGTGTGTGGTGGTAGCCAGCCCTTGTACCAGCAGGTGTGTGGTGGTAGCCAGCCCTTGTACCAGCAGGTGTGTGGTGGTAGCCAGCCCTTGTACCAGCAGGTGTGTGGTGGTAGCCAGCCCTAGTACCAGCAGGTGTGTGGTGGTAGCCAGCCCCTTGTACCAGCAGGTGTGTGGTGGTAGCCAGCCCTAGTACCAGCAGGTGTGTGGTGGTAGCCAGCCCCTTGTACCAGCAGGTGTGTGGTGGTAGCCAGCCCTAGTACCAGCAGGTGTGTGGTGGTAGCCAGCCCCTTGTACCAGCAGGTGTGTGGTGGTAGCCAGCCCTTGTACCAGCAGGTGTGTGGTGGTAGCCAGCCCTAGTACCAGCAGGTGTGTGGTGGTAGCCAGCCCTTGTACCAGCAGGTGTGTGGTGGTAGCCAGCCCTTGTACCAGCAGGTGTGTGATGGTAGCCAGCCCTTGTACCAGCAGGTGTGTGGTGGTAGCCAGCCCTTGTACCAGCAGGTGTGTGGTGGTAGCCAGCCCTTGTACCAGCAGGTGTGTGGTGGTAGCCAGCCCTTGTACCAGCAGGTGTGTGGTGGTAGCCAGCCCTTGTACCAGCAGGTGTGTGGTGGCAGCCAGCCCCTTGTACCAGCAGGTGTGTGGTGGTAGCCAGCCCCTTGTATCAGCAGGTGTGTGGTGGTAGCCAGCCCTTGTACCAGCAGGTGTGTGGTGGTAGCCAGCCCTTGTACCAGCAGGTGTGTGGTGGTAGCCAGCCCTTGTACCAGCAGGTGTGTGGTGGCAGCCAGCCCCTTGTACCAGCAGGTGTGTGGTGGTAGCCAGCCCCTTGTACCAGCAGGTGTGTGGTGGTAGCCAGCCCTTGTACCAGCAGGTGTGTGGTGGTAGCCAGCCCTTGTACCAGCAGGTGTGTGGTGGTAGCAAGCCCTAGTACCAGCAGGTGTGTGGTGGTAGCCAGCCCCTTGTACCAGCAGGTGTGTGGTGGTAGCCAGCCCTTGTACCAGCAGGTGTGTGGTGGTAGCCAGCCCTTGTACCAGCAGGTGTGTTGTGGTAGCCAGCCCTTGTACCAGCAGGTGTGTGGTGGTAGCCAGCCCTTGTACCAGCAGGTGTGTGGTGGTAGCCAGCCCATGTACCAGCAGGTGTGTGATGGTAGCTAGCCCTTGTACCAGCAGGTGTGTGGTGGTAGCCAGCCCTTGTGCCAGCAGGTGTAGTGCCAACACCTGTAAACTGTCAAGCTCAAGCAATTATTAATGTGAAATAATAGAATGAGTAATAATTTGCATAATTTTGTAATTACTGTACTATCTACTATCTATTTCCATGTTCTTATCGTTCGTCTTATTTATGATAGACATCAACTAGCAATAATTATAGAATTGTTTGAAAATAAATCTGTATGTACATGCAAAAGACTTTCTCTTAATTCAGTATTCTGACCAAAATGTCAACTTTAATGTATATATTAAATATTAAACAAAATATATTTTAAAAAGACCAGTATTTTCGTAATTGTTCGTATTGATTTTGTATAGATGTGTTCTTGTGGTGGATGGTAGAGCGAGGGTTTCGCTTATGCAGGTCGGAGTTCAATCCCCCGATCGTTCAAGTGGTTGGGCACCATTCCTTTCCGCTCGTCCCATCCCAAATCCTTATCCTGATCCCTCCCGTGTGCTATATAGTCGTAATGGCTTGATGCTTTCCCCTCATATTTTCCCTCCCTCACTCTGATTTCCTTATTTCCTAAATCTGGCGATTTCATGTAAATTTTAATATATATTTTTTGTCATTGTTTTGGATTGTTTCCAAAGTTTTCTTTTCTTCCTTGTGGATAGTGACAGAACTGTCTTGGTGGGAGAGTGTGAGAGTGTGAGAGTGTGAGAGTGTGAGAGTGTGAGAGTGTGAGAGTGTGAGAGGAATGTAAAGTGAGACTTTGTTAGTTATGTGTTAAAATGATGAGTTACGTTATCAAGTGTTACTTAAGTTTACTTGTAAAGTACTATACTTTCTTCTGGTTTGGTTGTTAAGTACTGCTTAATTATGTAACTCTTTAATTGATTATTATCTTTGTTATCCAGTGGACTCTTATCACTACATCTCTCTCTCTGTTTCTCTCTCTCTCTCTCTCTCTCTCTCTCTCTCTCTCTCTCTCTCTCTCTCTCTCTCTGTCTCTCTCTCTCTCTCTCTCTCTCTCTCTCTCTCTCTCTCTCTCTCTCTCTCTCTCTCTCTCTCTCTCTCTCTCTCTCTCTCTCTCTCTCTCTCTCGCGAAAATCTCTGGTATTCACAAGCCCTTTATTACACCTATTATTTGTCAACGACCGGTTTAAACAAGTGTCAGTCACTCAATTATTAATTTGCTTCGGTTGATTAATGAGTCAGGAATACAAGAGTAACAATGAGAAGGGTCACGAACCCGGGCCAGCATATAGGCGGGGCGAGAGTTGACCACCTCAGCCTCATCACGTAACGACTGCCAGCAAATACTATTCATCAGAAGAAAAGTGTAAGTCAGTATGACTATATAGCACTTGGATATCATCAGGAGGTCGAGGACCGGGCCGCGGGGACGCTAAGACCCGAAATCCTGGCAAGATAACCGCAAGGAGTGTGTGCAGATAACGATTTGTACGACCGTCGGATCAAGAGGACATAGACAGAGGGAAAGGAGATACACAGGAGGTAGACGAGAAAGGAACAGAAAGATAGAAGACGAGAGAAAACAGAGAGATGAGAGAGAAGGCAAGAGAGAGAGAGAGAGAGAGAGAGAGAGAGAGAGAGAGAGAGAGAGAGAGAGAGAGAGAGAGAGATTTAACATATTTAAAATGAATATTACTAAAACGGAGAGAGAGAGAGAGAGAGGGTGGGAGGGAGGGAGGGAGAGAGAGAGAGAGAGAGAGAGAGAGAGAGAGAGAGAGAGAGAGAGAGAGAGAGAGAGAGAGAGAGAGAGAGAGAGAGAGAGAGAGAGAGAGAGTACGTACAACAACGTGCCCCATAGCAGCACCAGGGTACAACATACCCAGCAGGTATACTCCACACCTACACCTTCCTCACAAACTTACACCACACCATAATACACCGCAGGAGACCACCACATAACTACCCTTTCTTACCGCACACCAATTCGGACGCTTGAACCAACTGATACAAGCAAAACCATCGTGCTTGTTCGGGCTGCAGTTTTGCGACCAAAACTTGCAGTTTAAATAGACAATAAGTCACAATAACCGGGGCTGAAAATTTAACACCAAACCCACATACCTGAAAAAGAAGGAATCGACGACGTTTCAGTCCATTCTGGACACTTATCAACTGATAACGGTCCAAGATGGACCGAAACGTCGCAGTTAATTATTTTCAGACTTGTGGTTTGGGTGCCTCAGTAATTTTTAACATTTCAAGTTTCTCTTAAAGAATTAGCTAATAACAACACACACAAAAATCACAATAGCGTGATGCATCAAAACTTTCTGGTTGCAATTCTTTTCACCATTTCGTAGCTCAGACGATTAAGGTAGCGTCTGGAATGCTCTCGGACGTAGGTTCGAATCCTCGTCACGGCCTTTGTGGATTTGTTCATTAGCTAATGACAAAATGATCTTCCTTGAGTATTAATATTAATATGTAACGACATTGGGGTGAAGCCAAGACCCAAACTGCTGCTTCAGAAATCAACACAGCAGAAGTGGTAAAATATAGAACAATAAAATTAGTGAATATAACACCAAAAATACGAATAAAAAAATAATAATAATAATTACAAATATAGACATAATACCTCTGTACTTAAAAATTAAATTAGCGCCTCTTTATAAAATAATATACATTGGCAAGCAACTTAAGAATAACAAGAACTTGATAACTTTGCGTGTCAATTAAGGACAACGACTCTCAAGAGATGAGTAGAGAGTTTACGAATAAAATTCCAAGTTACTTGAGCGCCTGGTTAAAGTTTATGAAGAAATGTACAAGCTGAGGTGAAAATTTGAAAACATGATTAAGGAATTTATCACGAGAAGGTGAAAATTAGTTAAACGTTCATTAGCGAATCGATCGATCAAAGATGAGTAGTTTACAGCTGTGTAATTAACAGGTTGGACAAGCAGCACCTGCGGTACTGAGAGAGAGAGAGAGAGAGAGAGAGAGAGAGAGAGAGAGAGAGAGAGAGAGAGAGAGAGGTAGAGAGGAGAGAGAGAGAGAGAGAGAGAGAGAGAGAGAGAGAGAGAGAGAGAGAGAGAGAGAGAGAGAGAGAGAGAGAGAGAGAGAGAGAGAGAGGAGAGAGGGGAGGAGAGAGGGAGGGAGGGAGGAGAGGAGGAGAGAGAGAGAGAGAGAGAGAGAGAGAGAGAGAGAGAGAGAGAGAGAGAGAGAGAGAGAGAGAGAGAGAGAGAGAAAGAGAGAGCAGACAAACACATAGGCAGACATAGTGATGAATTGAGAAAATAGAGACACGCAGAGAGAAAAATAATGAGAGATATTAACAACGCTCAAAATAAGAAAGCATAATGAACAAATCCACAAGGGCCGTGACGAGGATTCGAACCTGCGTCCATGAGCATCCCAGACACTGCCTTAATCGACTGAGCTAGTGTCTGGGATGCTCTCGGATGCAGGTTCGAATCCTCGTCACGGCCCTTGTGGATTTGTTCATTTGATGCATCACGTTAATGTGATCTCTATGTGTAAGAAAGCCTAATTTAAACCAGTAATTAAAAAAATGATTGAATTGGCTCATTACCTACTGCCCTGTTGAGCCGCGGCGCTGATCTTGCCCAGATGTTTGTTGTTGTTATAGATTCAGCTACTGGGAACACAAAGTTGTAAGTAGCACGGGCTATGGTGAGCCCGTAGTGGACTTACCTGGCACAGGAGCGGGGCAAGTAGCACGGGCTATGGTGAGCCCGTAGTGGACTTACCTGGCACAGGAGCGGGGCAAGTAGCACGGGCTATGGTGAGCCCGTAGTGGACTTACCTGGCA